CTGTCGTTAATGACAGGCGAGCCATCAATCCCGCCGTCGATGACACAGTGGAACTTTCAATTAAAGCACCAATGTCGGTGTCAAAACTGGCCCATCTCGGGTAGGGGGTACCGAACTGTGTGTCTGAGGATTGAAGGTAACAGGAGACAAAGGGGACATGATGTTTTCCCAGGTTCGGGCCCTCTCGATGAAGGTAATACCTTACTTCCTGCTTGATTGACTTTGATGAGTATAGGGGTTACAAGAGTTGATCTACCTCAAGATTGCAATGGCTAAACCCTAGATGTCTAGCCTATATGATTTGTGATAGCCTCTATGGACTAAACCCTCCAGTTTATATAGACACCGGAGGGGCGTAGGGTTATACAAAGTCGGTTTACAGAGAAAGGAAAGTACACATCCGGACGTCAAGCTTGCCATCCACGCAAAGGAGAGTCCCAAACCGGACATGGGAGAAGGCCTTCTATCTTGTATCTTCACGGCCCATCAGTCCGGCCCATGCTACATAGCCCGGACGCCCGAGGACCCCATAATCCAGGACTCCCTCACCCGTACCTAGGGTTCGTCCGCCGGTGTGTCAACCGGCTGCCCTAGAGAGTCTTTTCCCTGATCTGTTGATCCAGGTTTTTTTCTCTCTTTCGCCGGTCATCTTGATTGGTGTTTTCCTTTTTGGTTTTCCGATCTAAGATCGGTTTGCATCGCCCGCCGCCGTGATACTTTTTTCGGCATTAACTACTTTTTCTACAAGCAACTGCTTCGCAAGGATTCTCAAGAATACTTTTTTTTGGTTTGTACAGACTGACATACAAGCACTACGAGATAAATTCTTCTATGAACTTATTACTTGCAGTCACAATGAAATTCAAATCGACGTGTTGAAAACATTCCTACAGAAATATGTAATACAACACATTTTGTTTTAAATGTTCTTCACTGCTCATTTGTTAGTTGGTTTCAACTTAAGGAAACATGACATACAGGCACAACATTTTCAGCTCCAAAACTTTTTTTTCTAATTTCCTCACACATATTTTTGGAACAGGGCTTCCGACATGAGCAACTTAAGGAAACAGTTTGACAACTACCATCAGGTAGTGATCTATAATGCAGGAATACTAGTCATATAATCTTTTTCTCCTGCTTACCATTAATTTATAAATTAGGTAATTTTTGTGCTCTCTACCTCTGTGTTAAACATCTGTCATACATTTGTGCTTTATTTTCATCAAAACATCTGACTACCTTCTATATTCATTTCCCTTCAATAACTCTTTTGGAATGCTTTTATATAATAAAGTTCTTTTAAAATGGATGAAATTTATGTTTTGAATTACGATCAACACGGAATGTTCACTTTAAATAAAAATATAAATGTTCAATTCTATAGGGAGTAGCACTTTATGGTCAGGGAAAAATGTTAGCACATTCAGATCATTTTCCATTCTTTGCAATTTAAAAGTGTTTTTTTTTCATTATGTGTTTTGCAGATGCTTCAATACACTGACAAACAGTTTTGTTTCCCTCTGCTTAATAAATAAGGTACAACAACTACTTGAAGACATTTTCAACAAAAAACTATGATAGTCCAGGAAAATGGATAAAGATGATATTTGATCCCTTGTATGACATTTTTAGAATATTCAGTAACAAAAAGAGTCCCTGACATCAAAGTCACTGCATTTTTTGGATTTTATTTTTCTACATTTTTTGTTCAATTCATTTTTTCCTTTCAAAGTAGGAACATACAGAAAAAATGAAAACAAACAATTTTCTTTTGCACGGAAGACATCAAGAAAGCTTCTTGTTCAAATTCGAAGTAGGACCTACACGCCACTTTTCGAACGTTCCAAATTGAAAGAAACAACCGAAAATAGTAAAACAAGATTCGGTCAATGATATGGGCGAGCCCATCTACGTCTGCACGAACATGCCGCTCCTTCGCGCCTGACTTCTACCTAGCGTGTAGGTCGCCATATAGGAGCTCCCCCCGTCTAGAGTGTGTTAGGTTCACGTTGTTATTTATTTCCTTTTTCTCGATTTTTCTCCCCGGGGCAGGCTGAGTAGAGATTGGGTTTGGGCCCGGTTAGACACTTTGATTGGTTGCCTGAATGCTAATTTCTGGCACTTTGGCTAAACCTCGTGCACATTGTTTGGTTGGCTGCACAATGCCTTGCAGAAGTGAAACTGCGTTTGGTTGATCGCATATGGTGTGGCCTGATAACCACTTTCTCAAGAGGTGTGGTCACCCCCTCATATGAGAACTATAAGAACAAAGAACTAAGCAGCAATATGAAAGTAGTAAGCAGAAATATCAGGGATAACCAGGCTGCATTATATAGCAGCACCACAGAACATAGTACCAACAAGTGCACATCAACACATTCAAAGCGAAACCATAACAAGCACATAACAACATGACCAGATCACCTTCATTTGTCGATCAATGCATGGGCAGGATCGTGTTGGCCGCACTTCTGGAGGATTTCAACCATGGAGAAGTCGAAGATCGTCACCCTGTAGACGTCACCCTTGAGGACTTCGAAGGTGAGGAGGTAGCCGATCTTGATCTGGTGAGCAATGGCAAAGCCTGCCCATCCTTGGTCGAGGGAAATCCTTCCATCAATCTCTTTCAGCTTCACCTTCCACCTGCATCCGGTGTTTGTTTTCGGCGTGATGGTCCTCGGGATAGTGCAAATGAAGCCACAGAAGCCGTTGGGAATTGGCAGATACTCCAGGCTAGCAGACATGATCATCTTGGAGAAATGCGTTGGGCCAATGTCGTCATGTAAGTGGCTAACCTGCATTGGCCTACCCGTCGGCATCTTGGAAGAAGCTTGCACATCCTCCTCCTCAAGGCACTGCAAAAGAAAGCAGAGAATTAAAACATGCCTCATAACACACCAGGGATCATGCATAGCACTCAAGTGAGGATCCCTTAGTACCGAGGGATCATGCATAGCATATTATCTGATCATGCACAACACTAGGTACTAAAGGCCATCCCTTGATCACAAGGTGTGATCAAGGTGGCACAAAATTAAATCATATGTCTATGCAAAAATGGTAAATAAAATTCGAAGCCTCATATGAGAAGCACACACAGATAATGGAGATGAATATATACAACCCAAACCAATTCAAAACAATCTGAATGGCATCAGGGAGTACAAGATTGTCCCCTCGAAAGACATGGTGCTAAAGAATTGAATCATCGCAAACACAAGTATGCGGGAATTAAAAGAGAGGGTGCACAAACACAAGTAAGCGAGAATTAAAACATGCCTTATAAACCCACAAATTGCGAGACGATGATGCAACAGTACCAAGGGAAATGTAGGATAAATGTCATCCCACAATCCACAAGGTACTGCCGAATCATCGTTCACAGTAGTTGAAAGGGAGTCAGTGTTACTGAACAAAGTTAGAGGCACACGGTCTTTGTTGTTGCAACCCACTAAGTTCACCAACCCCAGCCCCTTAAACAACCATGTGGCTAGATTTAATCATCGACCCAAGAGATTTAACACGAAATGCTGCCTCATAGAACAATGGGGACAGAACAAATGAACAATTGATATTGTGGAACCAACGGACATGATAAAATTATCGTTTATCTTGCACCTAGGTTCCACAGTGCCATCCCTTCATCTGTACCCTGCTTTTAAATCATCAGCAAAATTGCAAACATATCCTAAATTCGAAAACTTACTGCATGTGGAAAGACAACCTCAGATGGTGCGTGAAAACTTACTGCATGTGGCAGTAGTCATGCACGATCTCCACGGATGGTGTAAGCGAACCGTGTTGAATGAACACTAGTTGTGTTCAGACATCATGGTTCACAAACCCCACCTTGGAAATACAACACGGTACTGATTCATCATCGGCCTCCTACGAGCAGTTCTGCTACTAAATCCCCAGTGTGAATCGGCCCTAAACAGTACTAAAATCGGAAAATCTTGCAAATCTGGCTAATCGGTATAATATAAATAGAGATTTGAGGAATTTAGTGCCAGATCTGCTAACTATGAACCCCATATGAGAATGACGAACAAGAAGAACAAAAACGCTAGCCCTACGAACAAGAACACTAGCCGTACAAACAAGAACCTTAGCGCTTAAAATCCGCCCTAGCACTAACAAAGTACCGTGCATGAAAGAAATTAGACATGTAATGTGCCGATACAAACAGATCTACCATAGCAGCAAATATTGTGGGATGATTGAGCACTTACCACCATTGATGCCGTCGAGGGAGCCCGGCGGAATGAGATGGCGGCGTAGAAGATGATGGCCAATTTCCTAACGTACGCTGTTGAGAGGAGAGAGGCAACAGAGTACGAGATGGTGTAATCCGATCTACCGCCGGCGGAGGAACCGCCGTCGGTGAGAGGAGATAGGGAATGGCGTCTCTAGAAGGGGCGAGTGAGCGGTGGGAGAGCAGCGGTGAGGGGATTTATGCGTCGCGGCGTCTCCCGCCTTTCCGCACGCTTGCGGCGCGGACCGACTTTTGGCTCACCAGGGCCTGGCCCTGCAAGAACGCTGGGATCAAGCGTTCCCAGAAGGCCAACTTTTGGCTTGCTTTAACACTCGTGCGATGCAAAGATTCCGTGCAGGACAGCAAACCAAACGACCCAAATCCTTGCCGTTGGGTGCGAGAAACGACCATGCCAGCAACCAAACACGCCCCTAGTGTAGGATCTGTTGCTGATTAAACTACAGTGCACACAAAGATGATTCATAACTCGTTCGTCCAAGCCACAACAAAGCCTAGACTAACACCAGCAGCACCAACGAGGTGGTGCACGGCGCCGATAGTATGGTTTCCTCATTGCTTGGCAAGCTCAACATCGTGGAAACACACATAATAAATTAAGTTAAAAATACAAGAAAAGGTAGGGAACAGAAAATTAGTCAACGCCGATACTCCGGTATACATATGTTACGGATCATCTTACATTTGACTGATACCACCACTTTGATGCCAACAACTATGTTAACTATTTTCCTAATATTTCCCCATCCAACAAGGGTGTGTATACAAAAGACGTTTCTATCGATGGTACGGGTAACTTTCCCACGTCTTGAGCCTTGGAACTGTTCAAATGGTAAGCTACTACTCTTTTGCAATTTGTCCATAAGAAGAGAATCTCCTTGTAAGGATGAAATCCTAGGGTACGAATATCATCATGAAAGTGATCTATTGGAGCCTTAGCCTCAGCTTCAAGGGTAATGTCGCTGTCAGGATCCCATTCAAATTTCTGCTCCGCCATTGGTTCGTAGGAAGTGTTTTGCAAAGTCCAAAGTCCATTGTTTTGAAGGCCAAAGTGTTGATGTGTTATTCCCACGAGTGGTTGAATGCTCACGTCATTCTTGAGCACCCATTTTGTTTGACCGCGTACCTCATCATCATTAAGTAGCCAAATCCGTAGCCGTTCCTCCAAATTAAAGATTAGTGCACAGTAGACGCCGTGGATGGATTTCCCCAAGTAGAGAGATTCTAGATATGTCACTTGACGTCCTATTGGAGATGGAATCACTTGGTACTTATGGGTCGACAAGGTTATACTGCACAAATGATATATTTTTCATTAGATATAATACATATATAGCTAGTTAAATTGTCAATATAGAACGACGCACATGCCCTATAAACCGTGATGGAGGAGGGAGAGAAAAATGTCCTAATAGTAGTAAAAAGGAGGGTTGAGCTCATATATACCGTATAATGGAATCGTCTTGGGAATGCACATAAAGCGCATCCCGCCAGTGGACGGCGTAGCGTTGCTTCCGAGGAGAGAAGTTGATATCAGCTATGGTAGTCCGTGTGGCCGCTTCTCCTTCTTGTCGAACAAAAGACCTCTCCTCCCACCTCCGTGTTGTCGAGGAGAACACGGTGAGCGTGTACGGCGATGGCGGCCATTCCGTCTCGTCGGTGAATTTGGTTAGCTCAACAGTTCTGCGCAAGACTCTAGGGATCGAAAACACATGGTAGTGCGGCGATACAGCGGGATCAAACACAAGGTATCTGGTGTCAAAGAAAGCTTCCATCCCCGCGCGTAGAGGCGGGGGCGGGGGCAAAGGCGTGCACTGCCGGGTCGCCGGGTTAACCACCCAGTCCCTGAGCAAGAGCAGGCCGTTGCGGTGATCCAATACTTCCAGATGGTGGTAGTCTGGGCGGGGGACGTCCTCGTCCAGGTAGTCGAATCTGACGGCGATTTTGTGCTCCATCTCCATCAGGGGGCGGGCGAAGAATCGCATGCTGCTCAGGATCACCTCCTCCACAAAGAAGATCCCATAGACCGAGAGCGGGAGGAGGTCCGCGCGCAGCAGGCTCCGGGCGTCCACGACGTCGCGCCACGCCTTGCATAGGCAGCGGGACGCCGCGAGGCTGCGCGGGTTGAGGCGGCGGAGGATGCAAGCGAGCACGTCGTCGGGGAGGAGCACGTCCATGGTTTCCAGTTTCCTTGCCAAATTGGTGCCTAGTGCCCTAGGATTTCTTGCTAGCCGATCGAATCTGGCCTAGTGCGTCGGAAGCTGGGAATCGATCGAGACAAAAGGCTCGTCTGGTGATTTGTTGTTTATTTCACGGTGTAGTAGTTACACAAGGTACGCACATGTCTACTTAAACCCGGCTGCTGAACCGACATAAGGCGGTCCCGTCCAACACGGCCGGTGTAGGACACCGCACCCAACACGGACACTACTCGACACACGCGAACGAAGTCAAGGAAAATATAGGATACGATTACTGTTTCATACATCGTTTAGGTGATTGTATTGGAAACATAGGATAGACTAGAAAATATTCTGGCTTGTCTTGTATTCCAAATAGTTCATGTACTTTTATATATATATATATATATATATATATATATATATATATATATATATATATATATAGTGTTACTATTCATCACCCAGGGTGCACAATACGTAATTCTTCATCCGAGGTAATCTTACGATCATTTCATAATTAAATTACATTTTGAATTCAAATAGTTACATTCCTATTGATTCACTATGTAAAATTTGACATAAAAAAATAAAAATATAGATCATAAGACAAGAAAATTTGCAGTTTATGTGTATTTTAGACTATGCTTTTATGTTTGTAATTTTACATAACATAAAATATTTTTTACGTCGATTATATATTTTCTTACGGTCCCTTTTTGCGTCGGAAATAAAACAAAACTTACGGAACGTAAAATTACGGTGCATTGATGGTAAAATAGAGGAGGGGTGAAGAATAACTATTCCTCACCCAGGGTGACGAATAGCGCGACCCTATATATATATATATCTATGAGGCTCAAGCAATACATCATCAACGATTCCAAGAATCCCTCTCTATCCCTTCTAACATGTTCGGGTTTTCTCTCTCTCGTTGGTCGCTTTGATCGGCGTTTTTTTAGTTTTTTGATTTAAAATCGGTTTGCATCACCTGCCGCCGCCGTCGGCCCCGTGCGCCTCTACTTCGATCCTGGCGCGACAAGCCGGCCTCTCCCTCGACCCGGTGGCCACGCGCGCCGAGGCCACCCATTAGGGCCAGCCGCCGTCCATGCAGCGGTCCGCCAATCGCCCTGCGCCAGCCGTCACCGCCCTGCTCCGACCTGGACTCCTGCATCGCCCCAACCCGGCGACCTCGCGCCAGCAGCGGCCAACCACAACCGCCGCGCGCGCGCCGGCCCACCCGTCGATCTACGCCGCGCCGGTACGGCCGCCCTGTCGACTGTCATCGCCGGCTTCATCTCGGACTCTGCTGCCACCACGCCTCCACCGAGCGGCGTCCTCGACCTCTCACACGATCGGCTTGATCACCCGTTCACCACCACGATCCGCCTCATCTACGCCCCCGGCCGACCTGGCTGTCAGTTGCATGCGCCTCCGCAGGTCCCGTGAACATTGTCCCCGAGTTCTGCGCGCCCCTCCACCAATCGAGCAACAGGCTGCCGCTGCGTCGCCCCATTGGACTGCAGCACTGCCGCCCCGTGGTTCCTTTCCCAGCTGCACCGACTCGTGTCACTGCTGCGTCGCCCCTTTGGTTCGTAGTGTCGCGGCCCGCGGTCCACCACCGCCTCGAGTCCGTCCGCTCCAGGCCGTCCATTGGCTGCACCGACCCTCGCACCGACGCTGCGTCGCCCCGTCGGGCCATAGCGAGCGTGGCACGCGGTCAACGCCACCGTCCTGAGCCGTTCATGCGGTTGCACCGACCCAGGTTCCGTTGCTGCGCCGCCCCTTCGGGCCGTCTCGCCGCGGCCCGCGGCAACCACCATCGCCCCGACCCACCTGCCGCAGCTGCATCGCCCCTTCGGGCTGTAGCGCGCGACCCGCGATCCAACGTGTCTCCCATTGTCAAGTTGAATGGGGTTTTCCCAAGATTATCAAAGTAGTGTTTAATATTTTTCACATAACGAGCATCGATGGTTTTAGGAGGTTCCCCATCTCCATGAGTAGCAAGTACACCTATTTTTTTTGGTATTTCGTGTTCCATATCCATAACTACAGATAGAGAACAACTAAGAACAACAAATAAAATCTACTTAGGGATAAAGCAAACAAGCACACATGAGAATATTCACCCCATGCTATTGCTCCCTGTCAACGGCGCCAGAAAAAGGTCTTGATGACCCACAAGTATAGGGGATCAGTTGTAGCCTTTCTCGATAAATAAGAGTGTCGAACCCAACGAGGATCTAAAGGTAGAATTTATATTCCCTTTAAGTTCTATCGACCATCGATACAACTCTACACACGCTTAACGTTCGCTTTACCTAGAATAAGTATGAAAATAGAAGTACCTTGTAGGTGTAAAGGGATAGGTTTGCAAGATAATAAAGAACGTGAAAATAAAAGTTAGGTGCTATTTATATAAAAAACAATTAAGTTAGTTTAACGAGTGTGGAAAAGTGGTGGAAGGATTTGCGAAATTGTCCCTAAGCAATTGACTACGTTACTAGACCGATAGCTAGTTTTCATGTGGGAGAGACCACTACTAGCATGTCATCCCTTATTTGGATTTCAATGCACTTATGATTGGAACTATTAGCAAGAATCCGCAACTACTAATGTTCATTAAGGTAAAACCCAACCATAGCATTAAAATATATATTGGTCCCCCTTCAATCCCGTATGAATCAATTTTTATGGTAGGCGGAAGTTGCTGTAACCCTTGCCCTCCAATGCATAGTCCTATCAACATATTACTAACCCTCTGGTGTGATCCACATGCACGCTCATATGATGGGCAACAAAGGACAGCAATATAACCACAAGAAAATTAAACCAATCATAGAAATTCACCAATTACCCGATAGGACAACCAAAATCTACTCAGACATCATAGGATGGCAACACATCATTGGATAATAGTATGAAGCATAAAGCACAATGTTCAAGTAGAGGGTACATCGGGGATCTCTCTCTCTCTCTCTCTCTCTCTCTCTCTCTCTCTCTCTCTCTCTCTCTCTCTCTCTTTCTCTCTCTATTTCCTTCTATTTCTGTGCTCCCAGATTCTAGCCTTTCACCATTTTTTAAACTCCTGGTGATCCGTAACTCCGATTTGGCTGAAATTTAACACAATTTTTATCCTGATATTAGCTTTCGTGCAGCAAAAGAAGGGAACCAACCGCCCTACGGGGTGGGCACAAGCCTCCTTGCCGCGCCTTGGGTAGGGGGCGCGCCCCTAGGGCATGTGGGCCCATCGGGCATCGTTTCGCGTTGATTCTGATTCCCAAAAATCACATATGTTTCAAAATAAATCTTCATAAATTTTACTCAAAAGATATAAGTGAAGTGCAAAGAGCATTCTATAAATCAACCAAGGACTATCTCATACCAGCATGTTGCATTAGTAAAATAAAAATAAAAAGCACATGATGCTCCATGATTTACGCATATCATGTGATGAATAAAAATATAGCTCCAAGTAAAATTACCGATGATCGTTGAAAGAAAGAGGAAGCCTTCTGGAGCATCCCCAAGCTTAGTTGCTTAGGAGTCCTTGAATATTACCTAGGGGTGCCTCGGGCATCCCCAAGCTTAGGCTCTTGTCACTTATTATTCCTTCATCCATCATGATCTCACCCAAAACTTGAAAACTTCAATCACACAGAAATTAACAAAACCCTCGTGAGATCCGTTAGTACAATAAAACAAATCACCACTTTAAGTACTATTGCAAACCCATTCATATTTTGTTTTTGCATTGTAGCTACTGTACTATAACTTCTCCATGGCTTATACTACTGATAAAATTGATAGTTACATCAAAACTAGCAAAACAATGCATCAAAAACAGAATATGTCTTAAACAGGACAGTCTGTAGCAATCTGAACATATACCATACTTCTGTAATTCCAAAAATTCTGAAAATTTAGAAAAAAATAAAAAAATGCATAGCAGTACTGTGTAAAAATTTCAGAAACACTAGACGTTCCAGTAAAAAAAATGAAAATTCATGCGCTATAGCCAAATTTTTTGTTTTTGCACTGCACATACCAAACAAGCAATCTAATCATCCTAAAAGCAAATCTTGGCACATTATTTTTATAATACAATGGATTTGTACAAGGGGATAATTATTTTTGTTAAAAAAATTCTGTAATCGAGATTCACTAAGTTTCCATGAGCATGAACAAAGTTCAAGGATGTCCCCCACTTCAACGGTGTTCCTCTTTCTCACTTTCACTTTTCCTTTTGAAAAGTTTTAGGTTCCCCACTTTATTTTTTTGTTTTTAAACTATATAAAAGCACACAACAGAATAAAAAGACTCTCTAAAACTTCCGGGTTGTCTCCCTGGCAGCGCATTCTTTAAAGCCATTAAGCTAGGCATATAGTGCTCAAGTGATGGATCCACCTGGATCCCAAGGTATATCAAAGCCAATTTTCATTAACAATGATTTGTGATTTAGTAGTGAGCACAAAGTAACATATATCATGCAACAACGAAGTCTAACTCTCTTCCTATGCATCATCACGTCATAAAAGAACAATTCATGCACATCAAGTAAAGGCCAACGCATAGTATAAACAGTTTCTTGTAATTTTATCGTATTGGAAACATAGAGGGCGGAGATGTAGTTCCTCTCTCAGGATAATTGCAAGTAGGAGCAGCAAGCACATGCATATTATATTTATCAAAATCCTCATGTGCAATAGTATAACGCAACCCATCAACATAACCCTTAATAAGAGTAAACTTCTCTGATATGGTGTAGCTGGGAGAATTCAAAAAGATAATAGGAATATCATGCGTGGGTGCAATAGCAACAATTTCTTTCATAACATAAGGAACTATAGCAAGTTCATCTCCATAAGCATCATTCATATTGCCATCATGGCCACAAGCATAGCAAGCATCAATTTCACCGAAAAGGGATATTTCAAACAAATCCAAGGGATCATAGCAATCATCCTTCGGTAAGAATGAAGGGAAATTAAACAATG